CATTTAGTCCATTTACATTCAGTGTTATTATAGAAAGATATGGGTTTAGAGTCATTGTGATGTCTGTAGGTTTCATGCTTGTAGTGATGTCTCTGGTACTTTGTGGTCCTTGCAACATTTCACTCACAGAATCTCCCTTAGGATCTCTTGTAGGGCTGGTTTAGTGGTAATGAATTCCTTCAGTTTTTGTTTGTTTGGGAAGACTTTATCTCTCCTTCTATTCTGAATGACAGACTTTTTGGTTAAAGGATTCTTGGCTGCATATTTTTCTGTTTATCACATTGAAGATATCCTGGCCTGCCAAGTTTCAGCAGATAGGTCTGACTACCCTTATGTTTCTACCTTTGTATGTTAAGGCCAGTTTATCCCTAGCTGCTTTCAGAATCCTCTTTTTATCCTTGTATTTTGCCAGTTTCACTATGATATGTCATGCAGAAGATCAATTCAAGTTATGTCTGAAGGGAGTTCTCTATGCCTTTTGGATTTCAATGTCTGTTTCCTTCCCCAGATCAAGGAAGTTCTCAGCTATTATTTGTTTAAGTATACCTTCAGCCCCTTTCTCTCTCTCTTCTTCTTCTGGATTTCCTATGATACAGATATTGTTCCATTTGATTGCATCACTTAGTTCTCTAATTCCTCCTTCGTACTCCTGAATTTTATCTCTTTTTCTCAGCTTCCTCTTTTTCCATAATTTTATCTTCTAATGCACCTATTCTCTCCTCTGCCTCTTGAATCCATGCTGTGGTCACCTCCATTTTATTTTGCACCTCATTTATAGCATTTTTAATTCATCATGACTGTTTCTTAGTCCCTTGATCTTTGTAGCAATAGATTCTCTGCTGCCTTCTATGCTTTTTTCAAGCCCAGCAATTAATTTTATGACTATTATTCTAAATTCTTATTCCATTATATTGCTTAAATAGGTTTTGATCAATTCGTTAGTTGTCTCTACTTTCTGGAGTTTCTTTTGAGGAGAATTCTTCTGTTTCATCATTTTGGCTAGTTTTCTGTCCCTTATGCTTGTTGTGTGCTCTGCACCTGTGAGCACTGCTATATTCAAGGAGGGTCATACACTGTCCAGGGCTTGGCCCTTCAGGAGGTGTTTTTTCAGGGGTTGTTACTTGCTCTCTATTGTTGTGACTTTGGTTACTTCATTATCCTACTTGTAGTAATGTTTTGGAACCTCCACCAGGTGTGCTTTGATTTGTTCCTTGGAGTAGCCCTGTAAAGGAAAAAAGATAGACAAACAGGAGACAAAAGTGAGCAAACACACAAACAAATAACACGAACAAACAAATAAACAAAAACAAAAACCTAAAGACTAAAAACAAA